TACAAGTATGTTTCTGAATGATTTTGAAATAATAACAGGGTGGATTAAATTAAGCCTTTTACTACCTTTTGGTGGTCTGTAATTTAATTCTTCCTTTGGTCCTCCAAAATTGGATTGTATAAAATTAAGATACCCACTGAAGCTTGTATAGGGGTGAATTCTGTGTTGGACTGATGTTGCCAATTGTGAATTACAAGGACCTGTTCTTCAACAAGATAAATAGGTTGACTTGTAAGTTGACTGCATAGCTGCACAGTTACTTACTTCTGTGTATATAGTGATGGCATTTGCCAAACACATTTGTTATTTTTAATTCTTAGAAATAAGATGTGATGAAAACTAATAAACATGGAAGACCAGACTCATCAGAATTGCTCCAAGTCATAAGTCAGTGGCTGGCAACTATAGGGTCAAGGCAGAGCAGACACAAAACCAGCATTAAGTCCACTCAATACTTGCTGCATGAGAGAAACTCTACCTTGCAAAGGAAAACATGCCACAAATGCTTAGGTAGTTTCAAATCTGTCTAAGTATTATTACAGAGGATCTACTCACGACAGGGATAATTATCCCTGAAAAATGTCTTAAATTTGTGTGCTCAATTTTGCAGTTCCCTACTGCGTTTGAATTCAATGAATATTTCCTCATTACCATCCTGGACCACTTGTACAGCTGTTTATTTGGGACATTCCTCTGTAACAGCGAACAGCAGAGGGGGAAGGAGGTAAGGTATAGCTCTGGCTCTTACTCTGGTATTTGGTTTTTTGTATCTCACAAGATATACTAGTATATACTTCCATCCGTGAAGTGTGGGGGTGAGAAAATCACACCTATAATCCCAGATACTCCAGAGGGTAAGGTAGAAGGATCACAAATCTGAGGCCAGCCTTTTTAAACAGATCCCATCTCAAAAGACGTCTGAAGAAAAGAGGATGCTGGAGATGTAGAGTTCAGTGATGGACTGCTTGCCTAGTGCTGTGAAGTGCTGGGTTCAATCCTGCTACAACAAAAACAAACAAAAGAACCACTCTGTAGAAGCATCACTGTTGGTGGTACTGGTAGTTCCCTCCATGCACATCAATGTTCATCCTAAAAACTGTCAGAAAATAAGGGTACTCACACTGAAAAGCCTTGCTACCAGGTTCAGATGTTACTCACTAATATGCATGTTCATTCTTATTTCTGTAAAGCAGGCAAGTAGATGAAAATTAAGTGCTTCTTAGACTGTACTTTGCAGGTATTGTATCTTACAGTGAATGTATTTCTGTGCATGGTAGGCTTTCCATATGTTACGTGGTACTAGATAATCACCAATAGAGCACTGCAGTGTTCTAATTACTATCACTTTTGAGAAACCCCCTTGATTTAAGTCTTAGCTGTAATTTAAATACCATAAGCCCTCTTTTAAAGTGGTAATTTAATGGTATAGCCACAGAATTGGAACCATCAAAATTTAGAGCATTTTCATCACACCAGTCACCCATACCTGTCTATCCACATTCTCTCAGGTTTGGGTAGATACTAACCTGGTTTCTCAGGAATTATGCACTGTCATTCACCATGTGAAATTTGTGTCTAGCTCCTTGCATTATCTTTTCAACATTTATGTCATAGTACTTTCTTTTCTTCATGGTCAAATAATCTTCCATTGTCTCAAATCAATCTTCCTTTGGGTTCTTTATTTTGGTTGTTGTGAATAGTATTGCTTTAAACATATGGAGCACTTTTATTTTTTGTGTATGGGCATGTGTGTTTGTGCATGGGAGACCAGAGAGGATATTAGATGCCCTGCAGCTAATGTTTTGAGCTACCCAATGTGGATAAATTTTGATCCTATCTCCAGCACTGAGGCACTTTATGTACCAGTGTTTTTCAATCTGCAAATACAACTGTTGGGCATTTCATGTTAACTGTGTTCATTTCCATCAAAGTAGGTCTATTAGCAGTTAGTTTCCTCTATTGTTGACTTTAATAATCACACAGTACACAAGTACTGCTGATGTGGTGGGGAATCTTTACCAGTTTTTTCCTCTTGCAGAATCTTCCTAAGAGGACAGTGTCATTATGGTCCTACATAAACAGCCAGCTGGAAGATTTCACCAATCCTCTCTATGGAAGCTACTCCAATCATGTCCTTTACCCAGTAGCCAGCATGCGCCACCTTGAACTCTGGGTAGGATATTACATAAGGTGGAACCCCCGAATGAAACCACAGGTACAGATCTACAATATACAGTATAACTCTACTAGGTCTGTCACACTCTCTCTGTCCATTAGTAATTACAATCCACAGAGTCACAGAAGCACTGCATAAGACAGGAGACTTTCCCAAGTGCACACATCCTGAAGAAAATAACTTTATAAAAGCCTAAAAACAGCAGGTCCACAGTTCTGAAGAGTTTTAGCTAGATGATGTATTTGTAAAGTAGCATCTTCCAGAAACGTAAAGACATTGAAAGATCAGTGATGACAATAAAACCTTGCTTTAATTCCACTGAGGAACTCGGTGTCACAAAGCCAGACGAATGGTTAAGATCTTGTTTGGCTGGGATTCCTATTACAGTAATTTTGTTTGCTCTTGCAGGAACCCATCCACAACAGATACAAAGAACTTCTTGCCAAAAGAGCAGAGCTTCAGAGAAAAGTAGAAGAACTTCAAAGAGAAATTTCCAACCGCTCAACCTCCTCCTCAGAGAGAGCCAGCTCTCCTGCACAGTGTGTGACTCCTGTTCAAACTGTTGTATGAAAGGACTATTAGGTCAAGGGCCTCACTGCCAGGAACTTGACATTACAGCACCTTACGGGTAGAAAGCCTTCCATGTTTTTAAACCCATCTATGGGAGAAACCTTCAGATGCTGTATTTATTTCAAGTCTCTCTTAGATGAGTTTGGAAATGTCTGGTGCAGGTGACAATGGAAATCATTTCATTTGTAATTAAAGTATGACACTAACTTAAGTCACCCAAAGAATACTAAAGTACTGGAGTCCTATTTCCACAGTGGGGACACGTTTTTAATTTTAAAATGTCTTAAAAACCAAGCACCTGGTAAGATCTCTAGGTGGGAGAAAAGAAAGAGCAGCTGTTCTAATACCCAAGAGCATATGTCTGGGCCTTCATGTAAATGTCAGATCAAATTACTCCCTTCTCAGATTTCTCAATTTTTGTGGTATTTAACAGTAAAAACCATTGTTTTGAGATTATTACTGCATATCAATAGTTAAAAATTGCTGCTGACATTGTAACTAGGGTATTTTCAACAGCAGTTAGGAAATGATGCCTTATATATGTGCTTTGGGGGGATGAGGGGACAAAGCAGTATCTGTCATCCAGGAATTCAAAGAACATTCCACACCCTTCAGACTAATTTACATTTGTGTGTTAATCGCTAACATCACAGAAGACATTTTAGAAACTATTACTCTATTTTATCTTAGTGATAATTGGCAAGTTTTAAAGTCTGACTTTAGTGCTATGTTTAAATTTCACATGAACAGTTTACCAAAGAACACACTGCATGTAAGGAATTACAATCTAAGTGCCAGCAAGTAAAGCCTTGTTTCTCTATTCACCTGAGTTGGGTGCTGGTGTGAACAACTGACCTCCTGGTATCCATTTTACTCTGTATAAGAGCCATATGTAATGTACTGTAACAAAGGAGCTTATTACCACTTGGTCTTTTAATTAAATGACTTCAAACTTTGTCCTTGTCCACAGTTGTCTAAAGTATCTACCCCAGCCCCACTCCCTAAATGTTACCTAGAAATGTTCAATTTGAGCCCACCTGTCCTTGACACCTAAATCAAACTATAAAAATAACCCTAACCTCAGTCACTAGTTCATTATTTTCTGAACTGTCATTGTATTGTTGATGCTGGAATTAGTACAATGCATACATGCATAGAAGTCTCCCTATCCCTCTTTCTTTTATTTATTTTTGCTTGTTTGTTGAATCTAGAGCCTCACACTTGCCAGGCAAGTGCATTCCCAGTATTAACAAAACTGATGGCAAATGATTTGGTTTGATATAAAATTATAAGAAAAATTTTAGGAGGTATTTATGTTACTAACAGTACTCAAAATAAGTTTTTGAGTAGTAGTTTGTACTTTTTTTGTACTTTCGTCATTGAAACTGATATGGTACAAAGGGATGCCGGCAGAATCCAGACATTAAAGCTGATCGTACAATCACTCAAAAATCAGAAGGATCATGTTTCCCTTCAAAACCTTCTGATGGTCTTCTATGACCTCCAAGAAATTTCAGTGTGGTGTGTACACACTAAAAGCACTTCATGTGGAATCCAACTGCATTCCTGGCACTCCTTTCTTATTCAGCATAGGATCCACGTTGACATCTTGTACAAAGTATAAAGGAGCAAGCGAACAAGAAACTGAAGGAGAATCAAAACCCAAAGCCCTAGGATCCAGCTAGAGATAGGTAAGATTGAGCATCTTTCAATTACTATCTAATTAGGAGTTGGAGCCATTGCCACTCAAATGACAGTTATAGAGTTTAATGTTCTAATATTCAAACAAGTTAACACAAGTGTAGTTAGTTGAACTGGTGGTCGAAATATAATATTTACCATGTCATCAGAGCAGTTTCTCACCTTCCTGGGGTCTATGGACTCACTGCTGTCAATTCATTGTTGCTGCAAACCTGCTTGTCAGAAAATTGCACACACAAGTAAAGTTTATATACAATTTCAGGAGGTTTATAAATCTCAAATCTGTAAGAACTCTGAGAATCCTTAACTAGAAAATTGTAGCATGATCAGTTCATGCTAGTAAGCTATAATCCATAACCTCCACCTCAATTCCTTTAGTATATGGCTGGCATGTTCATCAGCCTATCTGAATCACTCAACCAGGCACACTGAGCTTAGATCTTGAAAAGCAGGAGAATGATAAACATGCACTGAAGACTCTCTCAATCAGGATACTAATATGCACTCTTGAGATTGTGCAACAAATAAAGCCTTTGTTAGCTGGCTAATAGAATAAGTTTTAAAATTGCTTTATTGATTTCAGTACCAAATTTATAAAGTTTAACATGTCAATCTATTCAAAATTATAATTTACATTGACATAATGATAGTTGTCTGTGCTCAACACACACACTACCCTTATTCTGTATGCTAAAAGCATGGGGTTCAAGATTAAAAACCAGTGCTTAATTGAGTAACATGATTACAAAAAATTGCAGATGTGTACATTTCACAACCTTCCCCCCTTCTCCTAATTCTTTATTTCAAAAGTTCATTGATTTCATTAACAACTGTCTTTAGTTTTATGAAGATGTTGTTAGATATTTCATGGATAACTTAAAATGTTTGGGTCTTTAAGAGTGACTTAATGCTTATCAACATCTGAAATAACCAAAAACCAGAACAAAACAAAGTCCTCTTAAATATATAAATATTTAAATACAGAAATCCTCTATCAGTAGTTGAAAACAGTACATTTAATGGTCATCTGGAGAGGGGAAAGTAGAGGTCACTTCATGCCTGGGGAAGATTTAAAAATGAGACTTTTCAAGCACTGACTACGGGGACAGCCTCATTCTGAATTTTCAAACCCAATTTACATATAGTCCTACTTTAAAAAAACACCCACAAGTAAAAACCTGGTCATTTGTTTACAAAGTGCAGTATATGAGTATAGCAAATTCAAACAGTACAAGCCTCTCATGGTGTAAAACTCCATTTCCACGTAGTTGTGCTGCATGACACAAGAGACTGTAATGAAGCTTGGGCCCCTGGACACCTGCTAGTAATGGCAACATTAGCAAGCATGAAACCTGGAAAGTCTTATTGTTATTGTCCAATAAGGTATATCGTTTATGATCTGGTGTCAGTAATCCCAACACAGATTACTGCTTTGCAGTGAATTCTGTATGGTTTGCATGTCCTTCAATAACTGAAGATTTTTCCTGCTTTTTTCTCCAGGTCTCTGTTTGGCAAAATCCTTCTTACTTGTGGTCCTTGTGACTCCAGGTGACCGATTGCTGCTGTTTCCTTCTTCATCAAGAGTCTTTTTGTTAGGTTTTAATTCCTTCTTCTGCTTATCTATGTTTTGTTTCTCCAGCTATCCAAATAATCAAGGCAGGGAAAAAAATAGAATTCAATAAAAAATATTTTCTTTTAGCTCAAGTACTTTGTTTTTGACACAGGGTCTTCCTATATACAGTCTTAAATTCTTGATCCTCCTGCCTCAACCTCCTGAGTATACCAATAATTAATCTTCTAACACTCAAATGATACATTCTAGGTGTTTTTTAAAGCACATAAATCTGCAGAAATCATAAATCATTTAGTATTCAGTGCTTAAGTATGTAAAAACACATAGACTAAAATAAAAGGTGTACCCACATTAAATAAATCTACTCGGAACTTTCATCTAGAGAAACAGCCCATGTATTTGAGATTACTATGAAACAGAACCAGAACAAAAGGGGAGTCCAGTTCCTGGGCTGACAGTAACTGGAGTTTGGGGAGAAGTGGGCAAAGCTGAAGTAGTAGGTTTGGTATAAGCAAACAAACTACTTTTTCACATATTTAATCTGACTTACTAGTTGACAACTGAAAAACTCTAGGTGTATTTTACACAATTTAATTTGGTCAAACTCAACCACTTAAATTTGTCCAGAAGTTTTTTATTCATAAGGCTAAGGATATTAAATATATTCAGTAAAAACATATATGAAACCTAAGTAAAAATTAATACTTCTTTAAACCATGTAACACAGACTGACTGTTAATAAAAAAGAAAAAAAAATCCTCAGGAACAACCTAGACAAGTAAACACACCTTAGCATCATCAATTAATATATATGAAGGGAGAAAGTTAATCATCACAAACAAGCGAAGGGAAGGAGTTACCTGTGCTTGGTATTTCCGCACTTTAGTTATCTGGTTGGCCTTTGCTTCCATTCTTCCCACTAATGCCTCCAATTCACACTCCAAGTTGTCTTTCAGTTCCACAGTTGGTGACTCCTGTATGAGTTTAGCAAGCTGCTGGTGATCACTACACACAAAACACAAGTGGAACTTCCTTAAGTTTCCCATGTTTAACAATTATATTCTTTAAATCTCAGCATGGGAATTTATTAATATTGATAAATAATATATATATGAGACCCATTTTGAGACCCATTTTGCTTTTTAAAAGAAGTGCTGCTGCTTCCACGGAACCTGAGTTCAGTTCCAGCAACCACATCATATAGGTGGCTCACAACCACCAATGACCCAGCTCCAGGATCTCTGGTGTCTCCTGACCTCCTTGGGCATCTGCACATGTGATATATACATACATGAAAAGTCAATACAAAATGAAGGTATATGCAAGTATTCTTAATTCCAGACAAGTTTGTGTTCTTCCAGGGTTGTAGGCTTGTAAATGGAGTTTTTAATTGGTCTAAAGTAATAACCAGGAGTCAGATATAGAGGACAATGCTGAGAGACCAGAGAGAAGGAGCAAGCCACAGCACACCTTACCTCTTTAGTGTCTCCACAGACATGAGAACGAGTTTCTGTTTCTCCCTGCTTATATCCTGTTTCTGCCCAGCTATCTCACCTTCATGTCTGTCTGTACATACCTCTATGGTTAGCTAGTGGCAAGCTTCATTTTCTGACCTTCAGACAGATTTTATTTGTACAAGCAAGATATCACTACATAGGTTAACATACGTTTATCTACTTTTTGCTCCCTCCATGAACACTACATATGAATAAATTCTACTGGATGACACTGGTTTTCAAGCACTGTCCTAACTTACCAGTTACATTTAGCTAATCCACAATACTTTTAACCTTTTGCATGATATTAGACATCTAACAAAATTAGAAAAGGAGGTCTTAGACATGACATTTACATTTATTTAACTCCGAACCTGTGTAGGGATTATTGCTCAACATCTGTTAACAAAATCAGGATTAATAAGGCAGCTAAAAAATGAGATTTTAGAACCAAATGCAATTTTAAATTCAAAAACTCAAAACTCACAAGCTCATTTGCCCAAATTCATCCTGCAGAGTCTCTAAGACATCCGACAGTTCTTCACTGACACTGCCAGAGGGAGGTGTCACTGACTTCTTACTACTCCTGCAACCTCGTGAACAGGCTTGCTTTGCCAAGGGGACACTGTTAACAACTCGATCATTGCACAAAGCTTTACTGTGGTGCTTCATCAGATGCAAGACATGTTGAACGTTGGCTACCACGGCATGGCTGGGACTGGTGGACTAAAGAGAAAAGTTAAACAAGCAATATCCTCTATTCCCGTTTTCTAGTTTTTAACCTGGGCATAGTAAACCACCTGTAAAATCTCCAAACCAGCAACCACTCATCCACCCTGTGTCATATACTTAGTCTAACATCATATAAACGTGGATGTGTTGGTGCACATCTGTAATTCCAGCACTTGGGAGGTAGAGGCAAGAGAAGACCAAAAACTGTTCATCCTCTGCTACAGTGGGGTTCAAGACCTCATCTAAAACCAAACAGACCAACACCACTAAAAACAAAATAGCCAACTGGCCTTCCTGCCTCATCCTTGTGTTCTTAGCTCCAGTCCTACAATTATTCTACCTGAAATCCAGTGTTGTGCCCCTATAAGTGTAGAACACAACCACACTTCTGCTTAACCTCTACAGTCTCTTAATCATGTGAGCAAATTTTATTTGCAGGTGACATTTCTTTGGTGAAGCAACTTTCTTACCCTACCTTAAAGACTAGTCCAAATATACCATTTCTAAAAGCCTGCGAAATTAACTACTCCACTTCTCAGCACACTGACAATTTTTACATCTGTCTGTCTTTGTTTATCACAACATATTCTACGTGTCTGCATGTCTTTTACCTACTCACTTGATCTTCTAGGTCCTAGAACAGTGGTTCTCAACCATCCTAATGCTGCAACCCTTTCATATAATAATAAAATTATTTGATTGCTACTTTATAATTTTGCTACTGCTATGAATCGTGATGTAATTACCAGTTTTTGTAAATATCTGCACAATGCTTGAGTAATAGGAAACACTGAAGTGTATCTGCCACATCATAAACAGAAGAATAAAGCCTGATACCCGTCTCAAGCTTCTTGTTTTCAATGGGAAATAACAATCTCAATAGTTGGCTGGGCTTGTTGAGCTCCATAAGCTCAGCAGAAAACTTGCTTAAAATGCAGACTTGTGGGAAGAACCTAAGACTCAATGTGTTCATTTCTTACAAATGAGTTTGCATGAACTTTAGTTTGTCACACTGGAAAAAGAATTATACACCAAACCTGAGTGGGATAATCCTAGGAATGCAAAGGTGATGAATGACAATCAGAATAATCATTACTTGCCAGTAACTTAAACACACATAATGGCCAGTGTGTATACTTTAATATGCAATGAGCAAGTTTTGAAAATTTTTGTTACTGTTACTTTTCTGATTCATAATGTAATTTTATGTCAGTTGAGTCTAGTAATGAAAGATTTGGGCTTTTAAGTCTTACTTTTCCAGTGACTCATTTTTATTATATATGTAAGCATGGCTCTATAGCAGTAAGTACTTTTAAAACTGGTTATTCAAAATCTGTAGAATGAAACTCAATTGCTTTAAGCAACTGTATTTTCTTAAAACTTTTAGAATAACATTTTATAAGGAATATATAAAAGAACTTCAAAAGGAGTTCACACTGAAAAGCTGAGTACTGTCCTTTGTGAGTAAAGGCTTCAATGAGAATTACCAAAGACAACAACATGGGTATGATGAGACTACAGACAGGACAAAGAATGAAGACTGTCAGGTGGACAAGGGTAAATGTCTCACTACAAATTTAAAAATCCTATTTAGGGACAGCGTGATGACTCAGTATGTAAAAGCACTCTTGCTGTATAAGCCTGATGACCCGAGTTCTATCTCTAGAACCCATTGTAGAAAGAGAGAACTCCCTTCAAGTTGTACCTTGACCTCTCCACATGCATTGGTGCCCCCTCATTTTTTCACAATGAAAACAATGTTTTTAATAAACACACTAATCAAAATATAACAAAAAATAACTTCACAACCATACTTATAGAGGCTTATACAAAGTCAGGAGAAAACTTGTTCCTTGAGTTGATTTTATAAATAGTAGGCTGTGCCTTCTAAAAGGTTTTCCTAGAGCCAGGTATGGTGGTTCATACCTATAATCCCAGAAGTGATGAGGCAGAAGGATTTTTTTTTTTTAAAGTTCAAATTCTGCTTATAACCCCTAAAATGTGTTCTAAAGACTGAAACAGGCTGGAGATGGCTCAGCAGTTAAGAACACAGGCTGATCTTCCATTGGAATTCCAGGTTCAATTTCCAACACCCACATGGCAGCTGACTATCATCTAGAGCACTAGTCCTAGGGGATCCCATACCCTCTACTGGCCTCTGTGGACATTAAACAGATGGTACACAGACATATAGGTTGGCAAAACACCCATATACATAAAAGAAAAAAAAAAAGACATTGAAGTAATTTAAAAATAAGTATCAATAGCTATAACTCACCTTTCCAGCAACAAAGGGCATATCGCCTAAGCACAATCTGTAATGTGGCTGTGCACCAAAATAGTTCCTAGGACCTTTCTAGAAGGAGAAAAAAAAAGCCATTTCATTTAATTTGGTGAACTAACCCAAGATTCCAGCTCACCGTGAAACTACTGATTGGATAATTAGCTACACCGGTCCCTTTTTGCTACTGTGACCAAATAGCAACAAGGCTTCAAGAAGCTATTTAAGAAGGGATTTACTTGGCCCACAGTTTGATAAGATACAACTCATCATGGAAAACACATGGCAACAGTAGTCTGGGTTGGGTGGATTTTCATTAGACTGTACCAAACAGTAGAAAGCAGAGACAGAGGACAGGAAGTGGGCCAGGCTCAGAATCTCAAGGCTTGCTTTCTAGTGACTTAATGGGGGCCATTTCACATTTAAACCATAACACTTGTTTATATTGGGACTCATAATATTGCTTGGAAGGCAGAGTACTAACAAAACAGTTATCAAGAGTTAAGTAGAGGAACAGTATTCAAGAAGCATTTTAAGAGTCAAAGGTAGTGAACACAGCTGAATATTCCCAGTTGTATGTTCTTTGGTAATTCCCAATGCTTTCATATGGGCCCTCACTACCAGGGTTAAGTATTCAAAAGTAAAATTTATTTATCTTCAGGTTTTAGTACAGAAACTAAGAATGAAAGACTCACTCTCCCAAGATCCTAATACCACATGGCTTGAGTGTTGTTTACACAAATTATTACACAAAATTGGTAAGACTAACTAGTTCAATTTTCATACCTTTTCTGGTGGTTTTGACTTTTTTTTTTTAATTTTTCTAGTGTTGGTTGCAACATACGAAGAAGTTGTCTTATCTTCAAAAATAAGTCTATTTGCTTCTAGACCAGTCTGCAACTAGAAAAAAAAAAAAAAAAAAAAAAAAAAAAAAAAAAAAAAAACAGAGTTAATGATCTAAGAGAAAAGTTACAATCCACATTTGAGGTGCCATATAAATAAGTCTATAACTACAATGGTAGTCATCTCACTGAAAGCAATGGCATGACTATACAGTATGTCTTCAGTCTCTCATTTATGTGAACTGCTGATCTATAGTTGATCATGTCTTGCTTGGAAGCACTGTTCTACTACTGGTAGTTACTCTGCAGATTCTACTTCAGGAATGAAATGGAATGCATGTAGCTCTAAACTGACTGTGCTCTATACAGACAAGTAAGCAAAACACAATATAAATAAAAATAAATCTTGGGGGGGGGCAGAGGCGGAAGCTGCAATTTTCTCTAAACTATTTTTCAACAGCCCCACTCTCCAAAAATCTGTGAAAGTGGTTATCTTTCTATACATCAAAAATAGTCTGGAGTTTGGTAAAAATTCTAATGACCAGCTTCCTCCCCCCAAAGAGTTTAAAAATTCACAATGAGGGAAGTTTCCCAGAAATCATGACTGAGTTTTCAGAAACAGCACAGTAATGAATGAAATGCAAGGAACACTAAAAACATCCCTTCATTATCTCATGCACTCTTAGGACAGCATAGTCCCTGGCAGTAGAATGCTAAACTCTCCATCCTCAGAAGCACGACACACTAGACATAATTCCACAGGGTATTATCCTTCTGGAATACTTACACTGTCAACAAGTGTCAACAGTAACAAATGAACTACTTAAGGGCTACTTTTGATCACTTCTTGTTTGATTTCCCTAGCACTATAAAATCCAGGATCTGGATGGCTAAATACTCTGTTCAGAACAGCAAGATAGAGAAATATCATTATTCACCACCTGCCTTCCACTACCATAGCGTTCATCATCAGAACTTGGTAAGAATTCATCAATCAATGAATTTGTGAAACTTTCTATTTAGCATATAAGGACTATAGACTATAATTTAATAAAGAAAACCTCATACTTTTGCAATGTTACATGTAAGGAATAGAGACATCTTAAAATAGTTTTCCCTAAAGTCACAACAAATTCACTAAAGATCAAAAATGGTTAAGTGACCATTTAACTCAGTAAGCACACAGAGAAAAGTAAATCTATAAATCATATCAGGTTTAATAAGAAATAGGCATATACAATCAGTGACTCAAAGAAGCAATAAAAGAAAGAGACTGTAGTATTTGCATCGGAAGCTGTGAGAATGCAGGACACTAGACAGATGCCATAGGCTTAATTGCTTAATTGCAAACTTCTCAGATCAGGACCTTTGGGTTACTATGATAAAAGCTACAAACATAAGCATAATCTTAAAGAGGATAGAAAAGAGAGACTAGGAAATATCTGAGCAAATAACCATAGAGAAAAGTGTGTCTTGTTAAAATACAAAATAACTTTATCTTACAGAGTCTAAGACTTCTGTGTTGGACATGTTTTTACCTCACAGGTTTTTATTTTATGTGCATGGATTTATGTATTACAAAACTGCCTGCATTTATGTACGTGCATGTGCCTGGGCCCAAGGATTAGAATACTGTCAGACTCTGGAATTGGAGTTACAGATGGTTGTAGGCCACCATGTGGGTTGCTGAGAAGCAGTCAGGTCCACTGCAAGGACAATCACATGCTCTGATCTCTGTACCATCTCTCCAGCTCCAACCTCATGGGTTTTAAAAATACTAATCCAGACTTCATAATTTGAAACATCCAAAGAACTGCTCAAATTTTACTTTGCAAAGTTACATTCCTAATTTCCAATACTAAGCTATCTCTTGAGGTCTACATGTAGATCTGGTGTGCTCATATGTAACAGTTCACCACTGAAACACTTATTTAACTGTTCACCATTCCACTTACCTCTGCTGCTTGTGCCTGCATACGCTTCCTTTCCTGCTCTTCTTCATGAAGTTTAGACTCCAACTCTTGCATCTTTTTCTAGTAATAAGAGTATCAGAGCAGATAATGGTTAAAAGTATCTACTTGTAGAGTTTTAAGGATAGTCAAAATAAGCATGTTAGTTCACTCTAGTAATGGTTTGGGCCTTGATAATATCCATGATACTCCAAATCAACTAATAGTAATTAGTGATGTAGATATGATTTAAGTGGCCAGAGTATGGGGGAAAAATCCCATGGCCAAAGAACACAGCTTTGTATAAAGGTTAAAATAACAAATACAAATCTAGATCTTCACTCAGTAGTATTAAATAACTCTCAAGTAAAACACAATTAAAAGTAAAATTAGTTCAGAAAAAATTTATATGATGCAAGTTTTAAGTATCAAAACCATTTTGGCTTTCACTGTTTTCAAAAAGAACTACCTTATGTCCAGCCACCAAGACTGCAAAATGTCAACATTCCATTTCAAATTATTTTCTTCTTAAAGTCTATGTGTAAGACCATTACATTATAAATATCCATGTTTATGAAAAAATAGTGACAACCACAGCACACTACATCAGTAAGTAAAAAAGTCATGTTCACTAACTTCTGCAAGGACCTGCATCGTAGTGAGTTTGCTGTATTCCTGTTCAAGAAGATCCAGTTTTTCCAGCTGGCTCTGAACATGGTTTTGATCATGTTGCCGTTCTTTTTCTAGTGAAACCTGAGAAATAGCATCAAAATGCAATATAATTTGATGATTAAAAAGTTGAAAACAGCACACACCCAACATAATACTATGTGTAATTTGCCTGTCCTCCTACAGACCCTCTGCGGGATATGGAAAGGAATTCTAGGAATGGAACACTAAGAGAAGATCTCAGGGTACCAATCATCTGTCTGTCTCATTTTGTATGTGTATGCATAGCGTGCCTTTTGATAGCAGAGGACATCTTTTAAGAGCTGGTTTCCTCTTTTTGATATGTGGATCCCAGGGATCAAACTTGATCTTTCAGGCCTCAAAGAAAGTGCCTTTATTCACTAAGCCATCTCAGCAGGATTGGAATATTATTCTCAGTATAGTATTTTATCAAGTATAAGGTTTTACATAAGGGCATATACCTTTATAACCTAGGATAGAAGATTTACTAGACACAAGCGACAAATATTTCCAGTCAGTCTGGTCCCATTTATTAATCTCTTAATAACTATAAGAACTTGAATGCATTTATTTCCTTTTGAATACATGTTCTTTTTTTCCTTCAAACTTAGGATGATTTGGAAAGACTGCCCATATACTTAAGGATAACAGTCTCAGAATAAACAAATCAGAAAAAAATGGGCAAAATAGACTAATTGGATATGTTTGGAAAAGCCCAACACTAAGTATCTGAATATGCCATTGCCATTTCTTCAAATGTCCATGACAGTGGGGAATTATACAAGAGAACTTTGAATAATGAAACAATCCACGCAATAACACAGTGAAGACATGTAAACTGTGATTAATCACTGGCTCACTGGCACATCTTTCCCAACACTGCTGTATAACTGCTTAAGCCTTAAATTAGGATCAAGAATTGACATGGACTAGAAAATAGTATTTCTCTTTTACAACCGTAGATTATCTAGCATTTAAGCATATAAAAAAATCATATTTTGCATAATAAAGTTAAAGTGTACATATGAAAAGGATGAATAAAAAGTATACTGGACACTGATGTTGTATTTCCTCTACAAATGTGTAAGTTACTTAAGTACAAAGTTGCAACAGGAGAAAAGCATTTTGTTTATAAAGTTTAGCAAGATAGTAGCAGGGCACATTAACAAAAACCTAGCACCAGAGAAAGCCTCAGATGCAATCCACAGTATCACATACACCAAGTGTAGTGGTATGTGCCTATAAACTCAGCACTTTGGAGATGAGGTCAGGGAGATGAAAAGGGCCATGTCATGCCTGGATAAAATAATAAACCAGCCTAGGCTCAGAGAGACCCTGTTTCAATAAGCAAATTAATTATAAGGTTTTGTTTTTTTTTTTTAACTGCAAGGAATTTTACAAAGCTTAGTGGGTCGGGGGTACATATGGTTATTTACACATTTGATAATGCAGACTCCAAAACATTAACATGACTATTTTTTAGATTTAAGCACAAGTCTACCAAGTACAAGAATCCTACATAGTAAACAGAGCCAATCAAACTACCATCTACTACACTAAGCCAAATCAATTCCAGCATGGAGCTTTAACAGCAGTGCCATCAGCCCATCAGCCTCTCTAAAAAGAGGTCTGCTAATCATCTGTCACCATTCTTCATTTCATCTGGAAGGCACCATACCTGCTTTTCTAAGACAGATGTCCTCTCCATTTCTGCGTGCTTTATCATATTTCGCATGTATTCCAATTGTTTTTCTAACAGATTACATTTATTTTCTGCAGCTAACAACTGAGATGTCAGTTCTAAAATGAACACACACAAAAAAAGTAGTAATCAGCTAACCCAGAGGATTGTCCCAACAGCTTGTAAATAGGAAGTGGACTTTACAGTAGTACATACATAGAGCTAGCTAATCATAGAGCTAGAGGTAAGGTTTGTTGTAGAGTGCTTGCTCAGTATGCCTGAGTACTGCAAAACAAAACAGCTGCCCTCCAAAACCGCCAGTCCTCCCAGTAGTCTGGAAACCTCTCTGGATGACTTATGTTCTTCTTATGCTAAGTCACATATGCCACACTATCAATAAGCACTATGCATGATGTCACTTGCTCCTCACAATACATCTGATTGTGATGTAATTATGTAATGCTTAGAGTCACCATCACAACATACCAACGTGAAATCTAAAATAATTTCACAATATTTGGATAGATCCTACTTTCCTTCTTCAACAAACCTTGATTGTGTTTTGATTCTTCATTCTTTGAATTCTCTCTCTCTTGTATCTGTTCATCCAATACTTTCTTATATTCAATTGTTTCCCTAGACAAGGTTTTCACACTTTCTTCTGCCTGAATCCTTTCCAGTTCCAAGCGTCGAATCTTCTCTTGAAGATTCTTAAGAGCAGAAAATATGGCTGCAAAGTAGAAAATGCACACCTTAAGTAATGTACATAGAAGCTCACCAAAAAACTTTCTGACAGATTCTCATTGTGTACCGCAAAATGGTCATTCAAGAGTTAGGTTACAGGTGTGAGCCATAGAGCCCAGGTCTGAAAAGAAAATTTTAGAAGACAGACACTAGTCAAGTGAGAGATCACTCTTAGAAAACAAAGCATAATCTTCTAATTAAAAAGTCATCCCAAGGCTTTGTTTCAAATTCTTTAAAAGGTTCTACTAGTTACTAAGTAAAAACTATAAAAACCCACCACTGGGGTTTAAAAAAACAAACAACCAAAACACCTTGGCTTATCATACATAAATTCACAACCATCCTGTGGTGCTTTGAGTAAGAATGGCCCCCCTCTGAGGCTAAAGAAAGCTACTAAGGCCAGGCATGTGTCAGGGGTGTGCCTGAACATAGCAACTCTTATAAAGGAAAGCATTATGTGAAAATGTGAAGGTGAAACCTAGATTGTGTTGGACTCTCCAAGATGCTGGAGATGCCAGAGTCATGGGACACCTGGCAAGGAAAGCTGCTACAGGCTGTGGAACCAGTCCAAAAGAAAGCAGTGTGCTACAGCCAACAAAGCTGAAAGAAACTGTAAATCTGAAGATCTCTTGGATATCACACAAAATGCAGAAGTTGGAGTTTGCCATGCTGGTTTTCAGTCTTGCTCTGGTCTAGTATTTCCTCACTCTATTCCCTTCCTTCCCTTTTGGAATGGTAATATATATTCTGTGGCACTGTATTTTGGAAGTATATAACCTGCTTTTTAAATCTTGATTTTACAAGGGGCACAATGAAGAGATTTCCATGAGTCTCAGAAGAGACTTTAAACTTTGAATTTTTAAAGGGTTGAGAGACTATTGGGACTTTTGAAGTTGGACTAAAAGCATTTTTGCAACATCACGATATGGCTACAAGCTTATAAGGGCCAGGGAGTGTGGTTTGAATAATAATGCCCCCATAGGCTTATATTTGAATGGTTGGTCAACAGCACTACTTGCTGGAGGACGTGTGGCCTTGCTGAAGGATATGTGTATCACTGGTGGGTAGGCTTTGAGGTTTCAGAAGCCCACACCAGGTCCAGTGTCTCTCTCTTCCTACCTTCAGATCCAGATACAGAATTCAAAGATACTTCTCCAGCACCATGTCTGCCTCCACACTCCCTGCTATGAACTAAATGAACTAAACCTCTGAAACTATAAGTGACCCAGTTAAATGTTTTCCTTTATAAGCATTTCCGTGGTCATGGTGTCTCTTCACAGCAATACAGCACTGGCAGATACTCCCAAAGTACATTATTAAATGCTGTTAACCACTAGGATGCTGGGTGATGCACTGAAATCAGAGCAGCTATGGCTATCCACAGAAGACCCTCTTAAAAGATGTCCAAACATTCCCTCCTGGAAGATGAGGAGGCTCATACACTACCAAGCAGCTCAGAAGGAAGGATACAAGGCCCTTCTCCCTAGAGATTCCTCAGAGGTTGCTAATAACTGTCAGCTCAGGGGAGACTCCTCCTTAGTCAACTATAAGTTGCCCGTGTTCATGTGAGGAAGCTCAGAAAACTCACTGCTTCATCAAATTTGTCTTTAATGGAATCATCTCTTTGGTCTATTGTTGGCACCTCTCTACGCAAGCAGACATTTGTTCATGTATTCCCAGCAACAGGCATACAACAGATGCCTCAAATCTTTCTTGCTGTGTGCACACCAAATGCATAAATAAGCCAAGGTCAGGGGCCAACCTTGGCTTCTACTCCTCAGATAATACAGTGTTTGTTCAACCAAGGTCTTTCACAACTGAAGCTCACTGGTTCGGCTATGTTGGGTGGACAGTGAGTCCCAGAGACCTGTCTGTCTCTGGCACACTACTGCACTAGGAACAAGGTGTCAAAAAGCCTGGCTTAAAAAAAAAAAAAAAAAAAAAAAAAAGTATTGGAATGGTTTTATCTTTTGACACTTTCACATATGTATGTAATATACCTTGATCATGTTCACCTACTTCCTTCCACAGTCCCCCAGGACCTGACCCCCAAACACAATACACCCCATAATGTCTGTCTTCTTTACAAAAATGTAATTCAAAGTCTAGTAAGTGCTGTCAACCTAATGACTCTGACTTTTTAAAAAGATACTTATTTATTTAATGGGTATGGGTGTTTTGCCTGTATGTACATCTGTGTACTATATGCATGCCCAATTCCCAGTTGCCCGAAGAGGGTGTCAGTTGTGAACTGCCATGAGAGTGCAAGGTCCTCAAAGCACTAGGTCCTCTTGAAGAGCATCTCTACTGATGCCATCTCTCCAGCCCCTGCCTAACACTTAGGCTCCTGACTGATTCTGGAAATGACAGACTAGTAATAAGTGACTCAAAGTATTTTAGCTTCCATGACTCGGTGGATAATGTTTAGCAATCAATACAAAAAGCTCTATAAATTCACACAAATAAAGGGGAAAATATATGCTGTTCTAATTTCAAAACAAAAGAGGTCAAAACTAAGAATTTTAAACTAACCAGTAAACAAATAACATTTCCTTTGTTACAGTTGGTTACCTCTGCTTACCTCTGCTGTTGCTTTCTGGATAGGCAAATGTGGGCTTATTTGGGGATCGTCGTAGATCACTATTAAGGAAAGGCTTATCAGATGGATATAATACATATGGAGATGGAGAATGACGAATCATACTTCCATTCGACCTTGATGGTTTAGTTAGGATGTTCTGAAAAAGAAAATAATAAAATTACCTTTTCAACATTTAAAGCTAATACTCATGACTGAGAAACACTGTATGTTTCTCTAAAAGACAACAGAAAAAAACTGATTTCACAGAAGAACCCAAACATTATTGTCAAGAGATGAAAAGCCACATGGCAAAAAAAAAAATCCTTCTCACACAACCTCACTACAAATATTTACACAAGTTAAATCTTTGTTCAGATCAGAAACAGATGCAATTTGCTGAATTATATTCTATCCCCAATAAACAAAATATATGCCAAATATTTATAATGACCCAAAACTCCCTAAATAAAGCATGTTCGGCTGGGCGTCGGTGGTAGCATGCCTTTAATCCCAGCACTTGGGAGGCAGAGGCAGGAGGATCTCTGTGAGTTCGAGGCCAGCCTGGTCTCCAAAGGGAGTGCCAGGATAGGCTCCAAAGCTACACAGAGAAACCCTGTCTCGAAAAACAAAAAATAAAAACAAAAAAACAACAAAAGAAAGCATGTTCATATATTAAGAATTTATACTTAGCAAAAAGGGGAAACAACTATAAAACATTTGGTCTTATCACATATTCTCATGTAAAACTATTTTTCCACATATACCATCTGCCACAAATCTGTCAAATTTGGTGTTAATTTCTACATGTTACAAATTTAATATAGTGTACCTCTGAATGTTAACTGAAGTTTAGTAGTAGGTGAGTCTGTGGTGTAGGAGGACACTTAGATAAGTAGTAGTTGAGTTTTTGGTTCAGGACACTTAAATAAGAGGGAAATAATGACAATGCTAGGAGCTAAGGAAGAAGACAGGATGGCTGCCAGCTGTTCAGAATTCTCACACATCTAGTTCCCCTTTCAGACTGCCACACAAATTAGGATTTTCAATTTTCTTAAGAACACTATTGCCAAAATATTATGTAGTCTGTGTAGGTACAAAGGAACGATAAGTATTCACAACAATAAACCACTTCCTGAATAAACAGAATTATCCAAATAACTACATAATAAAGATTTGTACTTTTGTGTTACCGTAATACAAACTTGAGTGGATTTATAAGAGCAATTACAAAACACACTGTTGCTGTGAAAATTATAAGGGGGCAATGAGCTTAGGAAATTCGGTAGGTACAAGTCTCAAAAAGAGCCCTAGTGCACTACAAGTGCTACCATTTCTTAGCCTTTTGCCTATAATGAGAGCTCTATCTGTTGTAACATATGGGCTCAGGGAGTAACATTTATCCTTTTAGAAGTCTAATGGCAAAAAAAAAAAAAAAAAAAAAAAAAAAAAAAAAAAAAAAAAAGGCAAGTTGGCATGAGGTTTTTGAAGGCAATTTAAAAAACAGTTTTAATTTAATTTTTAAAAATGTAAAATATAGTCAATGTTATTATATAGCATTAGAATTGTCCCGAACCTTGATCTAGCACTGCATATAATTAACAGAGAACATTGGATTTTAGTTTCTAGCTAGAAACTGCTAGAATTCCATCATTTAACATTCAAAGTAAGCTAAGAGATTTTACTGTAGAATTCCCCCTCACAAAATCAGCAGAAGCAACCCAAACCAAATAATCAACTAGTTCTAAATAGAAAACCCATGAATTAGCTCTTCAATCTGCCAAAACTGCAGCAAACAAAAACCTTGTCTGTCTCAGCTTACCCTCTTACCCTCTCAAAGTCTCACCTCCTACAATTAAACCCCTCTTGGTACCTCTCAGTCCCCTGTCCACTACATTTTTCCCAGTGTCATAAAAGGATAAAAACAAAACCTCTTCCTGAACTCCAAGACTCCTCAACCTTAGACTGATTTCTGACTTTTTAAAAAAAACACAATCTAGCCAGTGGATAAAGCTGCTTGCTGAACAAGGTTAATGACCCAAGCCAGCTCCCCAGAAGCCACTAAGGTGGAAGGAGGCAATTTCAAAGCTGTCGTCTGACCTCCAGGAGCAAACTGTGGCATGTGCACCACACACACATTCTCATGTACACACTAAAAAAACTAGAAGCACGGATCACAGAAATCATTTATCTAAGCATTTTACTCAGTGGAGGAAGCAACAGTGATTTCCCTTCAATCTCCTAGGTCTCTTCCTCATAAACTCCCTGGATCGCTCCTCCCGCTTTTATTAAATGTTAGAGTTTCCCAAAGTTTGATTCTTAAGGTTCCTTTTATGTCTACATTGATTCTCTTTTTTTAAAGAAATCTCATCTACTACAAGCCTCTTAATTTTTATTTGCCAGCAGCTTTCAAGTTAAAATATGGAACTGAGATCTAAATCTAAAACTCCAAACTCACATCACTGATTACCTACTTGGATGTCTTATCAGGCACCTAAAATTTAACTCCACTACAACCAAATTCTTGTTTAGTTGCCAAATCTGCTCCTCACACACAATACCAAAACAACTGGCACTGCCATTTATGAAACTGCTCTGTACAAAACCATTGTGTAGAGTCATTTTCATTCACTCAAATCTAATCTCTCTGCAAATCACTCAGGGGTCTTTCTCTATAACACATTTAGAATCCCTACTACTGCAGATATTGCTGCTGTTTTTTTTTTTTTAAGTTTGAATAGCTATGAAATTCTAACTGTTCTTCACGCTTAAGTATGCTCTCCCAAACAGCTTGCTAGTGATGATCCTAAAAGGAGTGAGAGCTTCAAGTTAATATTTCTAATCAAAACTCTCCTATGGTTTTCCAAAACAGAGCACAATCCCGAATTCTTACCATAAAACCTCCACATAATGTAGTTTCTGTTGTTTCATTTCCTGACACACACATTTGATACTGTCTCTCTACCAATTTTCCAAAAATAGGGCCAAAAGAAAATAGCAGTGCACAAAATACATATACTTTCCTATTGAACAGGCTTTAGGATTTCAGTTGTGCGTACCAAAAGGACTAAGGATTAACTACATCTTGTCTCCTATATAGTTTATGCACCCAGACACTTGTTTCTGCCAGTCTTACTTTTACCCTTTATCAATCTGGTCCGTGAAGAACTCCCAATTGTTTGCTTCTCCACTCCTGGATCTTTGTCTGCTAGACGCATTGTGCTGAAAACTTGAGACAGTCTGGCCTTGTTAGCACAGGTGGCCACAGAAAGCTGAAACTGACATTCTTAAGTGTGACTGCACTATCTAACGGCCTCTCCCTCATCTGTTATGAAATTATCCCGATATTCTGACTTCCCTCATTAGTCAATTCTTACTTGTTCTAGTTCCTCTTGCCCAACTCTACCTCTCCATTACCTGTTTATTACTAAACCCGCCGGTGTGCAGCATTTCCAGAGTCCTAGTAATCCGCAAAGAAGCGGGAAGGCGCGGGCTCTGGCTGCAAGGGTCGCCGCGTAACAGTCACCGAGAAGCACTGTAGACAACGACGAAAATGCACTCGGGGCCCGGGGCCCCCGCCACTCAGCAGACCTGCACACCTACCTGTTCTCCAAAGGTATCGGAGCGGGGCCGTTACACTCACGTGATCGACAGAGCTTTGTTTTCCCAGGCCTGGGAGTGCAGCAGCCCGGCCAGAGCAGAGCTGCCCGGCGCCGGCTGCCAGGCCAGCAAATGCAAGGTGGGAGTGGAGGCGGGCAGGGCTGTGGCTCCCTCCCCAGGACGCGGGTGCAGCCTCCCGGAGGGACCGTGCTCCGGAACCACTGCTAGCGCCAGGTCCGGGATAGCCGGGAAGGCGGGGCGACCCGGAGCGCCGTCCCGGCCCACCTGGGACCCACGCGAACACCGCC